TATATGATCATTTTCTTTGGTATTTTTATCACATGCACATATATAATCATGAATGCTGGGTAATATGTATGTTGATGTCGTCCAGTGTCGAGTCTCTTTTTGATCATGTGATGAGACGAGATGACACATAGCAGATAGTTTAGGAACAAAACCTGGCACTAGGGCCCCTCACAGAGGAGAGTGGAGTCTTGCAACACACAAGCTTGTTTGAGGGGGAGAGGCGGGGTTGGCTGCAGTTGGCGAGATGTCACTGCTACCAGCTTGAGGGCGGGCAGCCCAGCTTTTGGACCTACTCTGGAGATGGTCTGTCTTTGCCGTGGCTCCTGTGGAATGACGCATCTAAACTGATAATGGATACGCAAATCTGCGCGGCATGGCTTGACTTGCCACGGCAAAGAGTGACAGTGGAAAGAGTGCAATAAAAGCCTGCACCGAGGCCTGTCGTAACTACCTCACAACAACTAATTTCATTACAAACAACAACATTCAATGACTTTCCAGGTTTTCCATGACTGTGGGAGTCTGATTTATTGAACCCAACTTTGATATAATTTACCACAAATCCATTTTTATTTGACAACAGCAGATGTCACTCTGTTAAAATACAGCTGTTTAATAATGTGGATTTCCTGCAGAGTGAATTAGACGCTGGGTTTATGGAGTGGGCAGAGACAAGCCTGATTACAACAGACCAAATGTTTGAAGAGCAAATTTTGAAATCACTTCAGTAATTACAGGATAATTTGGGTTTATGCTCCAAAGATTCTTGCAGATATTTACAACTGAGGGATTATGTAATGTCACATCGGGAATCATCAACCTATCCCCATAGAACGTTTTCAGTAAGGATAATGGAAGAAAAGACAAAAATCATCCCACAGATACACAAATGTTTACAATGACATGAGTCACCAAACACCTTGGATATAAAGAGAAGTGGGAGCTAGAGCTGAATGTAACGACTAGCACACTACTGAAAGAGTTCAACTGGAAATTATAAACGAGGTATTTTAGAGCAGCTCTCTTTGTGTCAAAATATGACAGCAGCAGCCACAAATTTGATCTGGAGGGATTAAAGACAGGTTGGAGATCATACGCACATTTTTTTGGGACTGTCCGACAGGGATTTTGAACACTGGCTTATCATTACACCCACTGTTCTTTATTTTAGGAGCAATCCCTGATGGAGCGATGGAGAAGAGAAAATTTTACTTGCTTGTCTCTGTCAATCAGGTGTGTAGCTTCCAGTACAGACAGATGACAGAGAGGTGACTAAATTATAAATATTTTGACTGAAGTCTGGCTGAACAGTCTGGCTACTTCATGTCTGCAGGGTCTGAGAAACTATCTTCACACTAACTTTTATACTCAGTATCAGCACACATCCTCAGCAAACAGCTGGTTAAAGACAACAACAGCTGAACCATTTGTCTCTCCCCATTAGCACCACTCTCCTGCCTGACTTATCTGCAGTTCAGAATCTCTATAACAAAACCACATTATTTGCTTTCCTTGTTTATCTGCAGGCAGACGCGCCTATAAGCACAGACACAAATACATTTTCAGAACCGTGGGGGTTTTCTGGTAACTTCGGCATCACATTTAATCTGCGTGGACGCTTCATAGCTCTCACTTTATACTGTAATGTCTGTATGTGAGAGTCCAGGAGCTGCAGACAGGTTGGACTAACACACAGAAGGTGAAGCAGGTTTGTGAGTTCATTATAATGTCACACATTTCGGAAGCTGTGAGGTTGTGAAGCATCGAGGTGAATCCTTGACGCTTTGTAGCTCTGAGGTTAAACAGGACACTTTGCGTCCTTGTCTCTCCATGCAACAGTGAGGCTACTCCAACATAAGGTGCAGGAGATGATGGAACTCAGAAAACAACACTGGGGCTTGCGTAATTTCTGCAACACATCCTTGCCAGCTAAGGACAGTGAGGGGTGATGCTCAGTATGCAGATGTAGCAGAGTAACGTTACTACGGCCGGGGTGCGTTACATTACCTTCCCGTACACCTTTGGCATGGTCGATTCAGCAGGGCTCCGGCGGCTTCGATGCGGCGGATGGGCGCCGGAGCCCAACCCGCCTTCAGCGGCTCTCCGAGCGGCCAGAGGCAGCGCTGGAGCCGCGTCGCCTCCTCCATCTCCGGCTGGGAAACCCTCGTTTGCCTCTATCGTGAAGAAGCCTGTGTTCTGCGGCAGCATGTGGCGCCGCTCCGGGTGGAGGTGGAGGGTGGAGGAGCTGATTCCTGCAACCGAGAGGAATAATAAATATAAGGAGCACCGAGACTGCATCTTGCCCGCTTGTGATATCGCCATGTTTGTGTATGTTTGCTTGGTGGATTAGGTAAGACTGAAGAGCTCCTTCTACCGGCCGTGATGCTCCTCATGATGCGTTCACACACCATGGGAATGTGGGAAAGGACGACACTCCTCACCTCAAACCTACTCATCAATTATTCTTCCAATGTTCTGTAGCCTGTAATAACATTTAGTCCAGTCAACCTGTGGTTTGACACAAGGAAAACTGTAGTAGCAATCATTCAAGGTCTTTTAGTGATCTCTTGGGACGTCCAAATAACATATTAAAAGTAAACCATTATACATATAGTGGATCAAGGTACATTCAGGGCTCCAAATTTGAGGCCACTGTGTCACAGAACATGATATTTTAATGCAATCTATGTCCTAATATTAAATTTTTAGGATACTTTTCCACATATAACCATCAGATACGACCTGTCCTGAATGTATATGTGCAGTTAGGAGGTACTATACCCCAAAACAACCTTTTTTTAAATCCAAAGTCAGTAAAATTAGGTTATAAAGCATGTTATCATTCAGTTTTCTGCACATACAAATGTGTTTGTCAGTGACAGCTGCCACATGGAAGGCTTATTATGTTGAAATATCATCTACAGATAAAGAGTTTTTCATTATACCAAACTAGAATTTGCCACTTTGGGTGGTACCAGTTAGTGAGAGTTCTGACCTGGGCCCATAAAACTCGATCATCATGGGAGGATGCCAATGAAGCAATATTACATCAATTGGCCAAAGGGGGGCGCTATAGCAACCCATTGAAATGTCAAACTTTGAATGGGCATATCTCATGCCCCGTATGTCGTAGAGACATGAAACTTTGCATAGAGATGCCTCTCCTCATGAGGAACACATTTGCCTCAAGAACCCATAACTTCCGCTTATATAGATTTTCCGCCATTTTGAATTTTTTGAAAAACACTTCAAATGGATCTCTTCCTAGGAAGTTTGAGCGATCTGCATGAAACTGGGTGAACATAATCTAGGGACCAATATCTAAAGTTCCCTCTTAGCAAAAGTTGGAAAACTTACTAAAACTGAGCTTCTATAAGGCAATGAATATTGCGGAGGGCGTGGCTCATCACATAAAGGTGTAGAACATCTCAAGGGTTTCACCCATCACCACGCAACTTTGTAGGCATATGACCACACATAATCTGAGGGGACCCCTCCATTATTGACCCCATCAAACAAAATGGGGGCGCTAGAGAGCTCATTTCTTATCTAGGCCTAACCGCCATATGGATTTTTACTAAACTTGGTAGATATGTAGAACAGGACGCCTCAAGGTGACTGGAGAAATTTAACTCTAATTGGCAGCTGGGTGGCGCTATAACAACAGAAAAATGCTTCAAAATGGCTAAAATGCAACCGATCGCTGTGGCTACCCATGTGGACCAATGTTGGTGTTTTTTTCTTTTTCTAATTTATGGTATGACTAAGTCATGGTATGGTTTGCTGTACATAATCAGATGTCAGTCATTCTGTCTGTCCCACGTTTTTCTACTCACTGACGTGGTCAATCTATGTGAAACTGCACATAAGCATTGAGGACTAGCATAGGTAGAAGGTGACAAAGCTACCAATGGCTATGGACTAGTGAATAATGATGTTATAGATATGAAGTATACAGAATCATTTATACCCACTTAAGTTACAGAAGAAGTGTGGCACAAACTGAGTGGAAAATTTGGCAAAAAATAAAATGGTTGTTGGGTAGTAGTCCTTTAAATACAGGTATAGTAAATGATCAGAATTTTCTCTTATAAAGTGTTTTATTGACAAGATTGACCCCAAAAACTTCAGAGAGATACCAAATATGTTGGAAATATGTACAGAGACCCTTCAATATTAATATCTATCATTTCACCCAGATCACATAACTGCAAAATGTTGATTTGCTTTTGACCCCGAAAAAACAATGTCCCATTAAATCCATGGAGGTAAACTTTGAATATATGATGCAGGAGGGTGTTAGAACCAATAAAAACTATTAAACATTACTAATGCAATTCCTCCTGGGTTGGGCACATTTTTGAGTTACACTGACTGGACTTATTCCCATGCTAGTAGTCCTGTGCAGAGACATTTTTGGGAGCAGGTGCTCGAGCACCTCAAGAAAATTAAAACAAATCTATCTCAATGGCTGGAGGCAAGAGACAAATAGTTTTATATATTGGGGCTGTCAAACAATTAGTTTTTAAAATCAGGAATAATCACTGAATTCTAATAGTTAATCATGATAAATCACATCTTTATAAACTTGTTTAAATTCCATAATTCTGTATTTAAAACAGTTTTGATGTCTATATTTACGAGGTGAAACAGTTCTTAACAGAGTGTCTGGATCAGGAATGAAATGAATGCAAAGAAATTGACTTTTAGTCAACAGTGAGGTCTGACACCAGGACTGAGAGGTCGGAGACAACTTCAGAGGGCTCTTTCTGTCAGACACAGTGTGTGTTTGTTTGAAAGGATTACGTTACTCTGATATAATCTGATGACTCACTGACGTCCAATGATCCCCAGTTAATGCAGTCTAGTTGCTCTGTCTGATTCATACAGGTCCTGTATGTGTCAGACATATGACTGGTCACAACATGTCGACCTTATTATATTCCCTTATTACATCATGTACCTGTGTGGTGGTGTGTCTGTGTCGCTCTGCAGTTACACTGGTCCATCTGCATCCCAACCCTCACCTATGGTCATGAGCTCTGGGTAGTGACTGAAAGAATGAGGTCACAGATACAAGCGTCTGAAATGAGTTTCCTCTGTAGGGTGTCTGGGCTCAGCCTTAGAGATAGGGGGAGGAGTCAGACATCAGGAGAGAGCTCAGAGTAGAGCCACTGATCCTTCATGTTGAGGTGGTTCAACATCTGATCAGGATCATCCTAGGCGCCTCTCATTGAAGGTGTTTCAGGCACGTCCCTCTGGTAGGAGGCCCCGGGGCAGACCCAGAACACACTGGAGGGATTACATAACTCATCTGGCCTGGGAACGCCTCAGGGTCTTCCAGGAGGAGCTGAGAAGTGTTGCTGGGGAGAGGGACGTCTGGGGAGCTTTGCTCGGCCTGCTGCTCCCATGACCCGACTTCAGATAAGCAGTTGAAAATGGATGGATGGACCTTTACTCCTGTAGATCAACTTGTCTTATTTCATGTCGCCTGCTGAGTCAACACATTTTACTGTGTATTAATTCTCTCCCACCAAATTTCATTGAACACATTTAATTGAAGTGTAAAAAAATATTGAAGTCCAAAATCTATTGAATACATTAAATGGGTCAAACAGAAATGTTTGAGCTTAAAAAGATGAACATATTTAGCTGAGGTTAAAGAATATGCTAATCAGGATTAGTTAGGGCTGGGTGGGGCTAAGTGTTAGGTTAGGCTTGGTTAGTGTTTAAGAACGTCAACTGTTAAACAGGAAGCAAAAATGACTGGAGGGAGGCTTTAAACGTGTTTATTATTAATTAAAAATGTCACATTAAAACAAGAAAGTGAGCAAATATTAGTTTGTCATGGTGGCAGCAATATGTTGCTGTAGAAGATGTAACTGTAGCCTACCTTTTAAGAAGAAGAAGAAGAAGAAAATAAAGTTTATCAAACCCAGAGGGGAAGTTTTGTTGTTTTTTTTTTTTCGCTCTGTTACACACACAGGCCCTAAATACACACATGCACAAACAGGACTTGTACATGCATTAAATGGGGAGCTGTCAGAGTGAGGGGGCTGCCTTGGACAGGCGCCTCAAGCAGGTGAGGTTCAGTGACTTTCTCAAGAGCACCTCAGCAGCACCAAGGAGGCAAACTGGCACCTCTCCAGCTGCCAGTCCAAGCCTATAATTCCAGCTCTGAGCAGCTCTAAAAGTGACAGATCCCAGATGTGGATTAAGATGTTTCTCGCACATGAGAAATGTCTCTTTTAATGAGAATAAAACGATCTGACTGTCATGGACGCGGCGTGTCTCCTTCATGTTGCCACAACCTGAGCATATTAAATCAATGGGATTATACAAAGTGAGATTAGAACTCCACTGTGAGTAAAGTGGATATGGGATGAAGCTGTTGAAGTGGTGGGTTTAACTGCAGATTACTGCTGCAGCGAAGTGGATTATTTCAGTGTGAAATGAAACCATGAAGCAGCAACATGAACCAGAGAGAGATCATTTACAGGTAATCAAGACAATGTCATCAGAGTTTGGAAGAATGAATATAATAAAGAAGGCAGAAAGGTGTATGGTGTTGTCTTGCCTGAATCAAAAACTGTTCAGAATTCAGCTGCCAGAGACGTGATGACATCACTCCAGTTTCAGCCTCTTTACTGGCTCCCAGTATGTTTTAGAATAGATGTTAAGATTTCACTGATTACTTTTAAGGCTCTTCATGGTCTCTGTAACAGATATATCTCCGACCTCTTTGTACCGTGGACGCCAGAACGTACTTTGAGGTCCTCAGGCAGCAGAGGTCTTTTGTCTGTTCCAGAGGTCAGGGCCCCAAGGCTCTGGAACAATCTGCCCGAGGAAATCAGAAATCAGGTCGGTTGAGTCAGTGATCGCTTTTAAATCCCTTCTTAAAACATATTTTATCAGAAAGCTTTTCCTGATTTTACTTGAGTTTTAAGTTTATTTAAACTTTCTTTATTTCCTCAGTTTTTATAAACCAAAGTGTTTTATCAGCTCTTTTAAAAGTTCTTGTTTTCATGTCTTGTCTCTTTTAATTATTGACACATAAAGCACTTTATAAATAAAGATTATTATATTATCTTCACTGACACATTCAAATTACAATTTTGCATGAATGACTCAGAAAATGATCATGCCGTTAATCCCATGAGTTTTAAATACAAACATTTTAATATGATGTGTTGCACGTTTGCCAACTTAAACAAACCACATCTGAAAATTTGAAAGTCTTAGATCTTGAACTGTATATATGCAGAAGTAATTGAGGAAACTGGGCCAGCTGTCACACTGAGAAGTTGTTTCAGTGACTCTTTGATTAAGTATAAATAAAAGTAAACTGCTGTGCTGCAACAA